GAGGTTGACTGTATGCCAGACGATTTCCGTCTTTAGACACTCCTGTGAGCTGATACTTCGAGCCTTCGCGTAGCCCGATAACTTTCAGATGAGTATTGGGAAGGTAGATCATTGCAGATTCGGAATACTCCGTTGAGTCTGCATTGGTACCTTGCTTTGCAGCGTTACTTGATGTTACCCTTATAGTCGCTTACCTACTAAAGAATAGTTTACGTAAAATGATGAGCCAGGCATCCGCCATACATTGTTATTTGAGGGCTTCCATTCCACTTCTACGCTATCTAGTAAAACATTTTTGACTACAAATGTTGGCGGATCGGGATCTGCAAAGAGAATTTTAATTTAGATAAGTGAGTTTTTTTTTTATCAAATAACATTTATGTCTCTCACTTTTGGAAGGCCACGTCCTGGCTGGTCTCATACTTCGCTCTCCCTCACCGGCGCTGGTTTCACCCCATACGGATATTTTGTACCCGGAATCAGGTTCGCATTTTTCATGAAGGTATGCCAACTGTCGATGTAACACATATGTCTCCTCTGTCTCGTCTAAAACACAAAATTCGAACAGGCTAAAATGGCGATTTCTATAAAAAAATTTACTGCGATCGTTTTCAAATGAAAGAAAGTATCCTCGAAGCTGTCCATTAGGATGTTTTGGTGGCTCCCAAAATGCAAGTATGGCGTGAGCTCCTACGGCGAAGACTCGCAAATTGCTAACTTTTGATGGTACTGAAATGAAATTAGTCAGTGGAATGTTCTGAAGCCGTTGCAGGACTTCATTTTGTTTAAACTTGCATCCTTCAGGAGTTGTCCAATGCACAGGAGGACTGGGCTCACTTCCGTGGTGTCGATTTTTCGTACGAATAACTGCAGTATAGTTCGAATTGGCTGACAAAGTAGTAATCAGCTAAATTTCGAATATTCTTTAATTGAGTGGAAATTCTGCTCAACTTCCTCACTTTCTCAGTTTGCGTTGGAGAGGCCAGTAGACGATACTTACGAGCAGGAAGAGAATCCCGCCAAAACTCGATCTAAATCGTGAAGCCCAATGAATTTTTTTTTGTGTTTGAAGTCGACAGCCACGTACTTCGTAACCTCGGAAATAACCATTTACAGTTGATTCTGGCACAAGTTCCCAAGCAAAGTTTACCGACGAAAAATTCACGATTTTCTCAATCCGAAAGTTGCTCGGAGGTGCGGAAGGCACTGTATAAGAAGAAGCTTAGCAAAATGTAAGAGATTAGTTCCTTGAAAAAAAAAACTCACCGTCTTCTCCAGAAAATCCCTTAATGGTTTCCGGCTCTAATATACTAGGTCCTATAGCATTCACAGCACGCACTTGTACAAGAAATTCACGAAAAGTCGGTTGCTCGCGAATGATTGTGTGATTCTAGAATTTTTCTTCCCTTTCCAGCCACCTAAAGCGAATTATTGTGGAACTCACGGCAAGAGAATCTTCCACGAGGAACTCCGTCCATGCAGAATGAGGTTCGTTTAGTTTATATCTAAATATAAGTACCTAAAAGGTTTATGTGCGAATTGCAAAGGTTACGGACCTAACAAGGTATTGCAGATTAGGTGCATTCCAAAAGTATTTGTCCATAGGTTCCCAGTACACAACCAGATTGTCCGCCTCAGTGCCTTCCGCTTTCACACCTGATGGATTCGAGTACGGGAATGAAGGTCTTGTTTGGCAGGAAACCGTTCGGATAACATCTGAAATATATTTCATATGGTCTTGATGGAATTTCCAAATTTCTCAAAACCAATCAGCTTCCCAAATTAAGGAATTTTTTTAAAGGAAAATTTATTATAGTTCTGACAAAATAGCTTGCCTCACTTATTCAGTATGACCATTTCTAAGTATTTGAACAGTGATCAACGCAAGAGTTGTAATAAAAATAGAGTCAAAGAAGCAACAGATTACATAACCGTTTAAAAAGGCTTCAGACTCAAAGAAATATTGCATTGAGTTTATGTAATTCGCGCCTGCATGTGAACTTCCAATCTCAGCAAAACTCATTATGCGCTTCAGTCACCTGAACTTACTTCTACTACTTCTGTTTAGTGATTTAAACTTGAGTTTGCTCTAAAAACGGTTTGAAATTATATGGACTTTTTAAAAGATGAATAGCTGTGAGCAACATAGTAAAAACTTAGAACTGTTCTATTTTATTGTGAACAAGCAATAACGTAAAACCTTCTTCGTCCAAAGCGGCATTCAAATCGGATCGACCGTGTGAGTTCTCGGCAATTACTCGGAAAGTGTAGTTTACCTGAGAGCAGCGAAATGGGAAAACAGTAGTTGTAAGCGTAGAGAATATCTTACCCAAGGCGTTAGAGTAACGTCAGCCTCGAAGTGCTCTTTTTCAACATTGATTTCGTCAACAACCCGTTCCCAGATGTTCTGACAAAAATCAACGATGAAACTGTGAGGTCTATTACACCTATGAAGTTACCTTGCGGAAATCTGTTTGCATTTCTACTATGTACTTCTTGATCTGGTCGCCATGCTCATTCGATGCTTTCCATCTTATTACTGCTTTTCTTTCTGAGCATACTGCCGGCTCCAGAATTGGGTGCGCGGGAACATCTATAGAAGAATTTGGAGCAAAGGGCAATTAATTGACTGATGTTGAGAATACTTAAGCAACAACCTTTTACAATAAGCTTCATCGACGCAAGTTTGACGTCGACATCCGTGACTGCAGCGCAATCGACAACGCCTGAATGTCTGCCTCGGGCCGAATTGATACGTAATCGATCAGGAAGTATGCTAAATCAGCAGTACTTCCTCTCAATGAAATTGACATCACCCTGTCATACTTACTTGAATGTTTTGCTTTCATTAATCAATTTCCCATTAATCGTCCATTTATACTGAACCACTAGTCGAGGATCTGCGATAGCTTCGCAGTGAAGCTCAGCGGAGTGTCCTGCTTCCAACATCAGCTTCTGTGGTGAAGGAATCTTCACGAAGTATGTCGGTTCTACGATAGTGTGCGTAAGTAAGTGTTAAACCTAACTTCAGGAATTTTATTGAGTTTGCTTACTGTAGACTTGAAGCCTGTTGGTTGCGCGAGCGATGCCATATTTATTGGATACATTGCAATAGTACAATCCTTCATCAGCACTACTTAGGTCATGAATTATGAAGGTGTTGTTTGGCAACAGCTGAAAATAAACAACAACTTTAGTTAAACCAAAGAAAACAAGTTGTATTAGAGTGTGCTTGACGATCACCAGTGGTGTGTGATTGCTCATGCGTTACCCTACATTCCTGATTGTGCATCTATTACAAGTACTGAAGAAAGAAAAATTTGAACATAGGCTTCCAATTCTGTGACTTTCAAGGCCAGCAAGAAATGTAAAAGCTCTTGGAAGCCTATATCAGTTTTTTAATGGATCGGAAATCCAATGAGGTTTCAAATCAGGAGTAGAGCTGTCAAAGAAAAGTGCTTATGCTCTCTCAAGCACAAAGAGCAAATTTCATAAAGTTTTTCTTCTTATTAAGTGCAATGGCATAAAGGAGATCAAATATCCTGATGGGATCATTCATACGCAACTTTAGTCCTTTGGCCGATATTGCAAGGCCAAAGCTAATTATGGAAAATCGGCTGAACTAGTTTTGATTTACTCCAAAATTGTTGTCTTGTTTTTCTTGTCATTTGCCAGACAACGGCAATAAAATGACAAACGGGTGGTCGGAACTTTTTGAGCAACGATTACTTAATATAGAGGGTTGTGGTTAGTGTTCGATTGTAATTATTAGGACGCTTTTCAGGAAGTGATATAAAGAACGATGGATTATGATACAAGC